AGACTTCCAAGATAAGTAAAGCGATCGATACGCTCAATTACTTCACTCCCTATCATTAGTTCGGGTGTCAATGCAACCCAATCCTGAAGCAACATTTTGCATTTCGAGGGGGAGAATCGCATGTCGAACATGCTTGCATTGTTGCTTAGAGTGATCAGAAGACTCTGCATTTTGTCAGCGTCTTCACCAAATAAAACGATGTCATCAGCATATTCTAAGTCAACAAGTGAACCTCCCGGTAGAAGTTCAACCCCTGGAAATTTAGATGAGAGTGATATCTCTAAAAGTACGTCAATGACAAAGTTGAACAAGAATGGAGAGAGTGGACAGCCCTGACGAGCAGCACCTGAGGTAACCAATTCTGATGACAGTTCGCCATAAGCTCTCACTCTACCAGTTGTGTTCGAGTAGAGAGCCTGTATAAGGTTAATGTACTTCTTTGGTACTCTTTTCAGTGACAAACACTGCCATAGAACCTTACGATCGACGGAGTCGAATGCCGCCTTAAGGTCGAGAAATACCACGATTGTGGGGCGTCTGAACGTGTGTCTGTGTTCTAGAACCTGACCTAATGTGAATATGTGGTCTATACAACCACGTCCAGGTCGAAAACCAGCCTGATTTTCTCTAGTCTGCTCTTCACGAGCTTTAGTTAGGCGTCGAAGTATTATTGAGGCTAATATTTTAGACACTATATTTGTCAAACTGATTCCTCTGTGATTGTCACAAGAGGACTTTTGTCCTTTCTTATAGACTGGCACAATCAGTGACTGAGACTAGTCAGATGGGATTACGTTCAGTTCCCAAATTCTACCTAAGACCTCAGTTAAACTCACTGCTAATACTGGACCACCATCCTTAAAAATCTCAGGAGTAAACCTGTCAGGGCCTGCTGCTCTCCCTCGCTTCAGATTTCCTATGGCTTTTTCAACTTCGTAAAGAGACGGAGGACCTAGATTAACTTGCCATTCAGGTTGACTGGAGATCGTGGGAAACCAAAGTGTGGTTGAAGGCCAGTTGAACTGATCCCTAAAGTGTTCTGCCCATCGATCCAATCTCCGGGATTGAGAATGAATAATATGTCCATCTTTCTCTGAGATTGTTTCGCTAACAGTCGGTTTCTTAATACCGGTTTCCTTAACGAGTCTGAACAATTGTCTGCTATTACCTATTGCCGCTGCCTTTTCCGTCTCTCTTGCTTTCTCTACCCAGCACTGTTCACGATCATTGCGTAGACTTCTTGTCAGCTTGCGCTTAAGCTGACTCCGCTCTTCATTATGTTCAGAGCCAGGTGGAATGAGTTTCTGAGCATCTATCAGTGCGATAGATGCTGCTGAGATCCAGTGTTGCTCCCTAACCTTACGGGTTACCGTACTAGCAGATATCACTGCTGTTTCCACAGCTTTTCGGATATCATTCCATGTTGCCTCGGGGTGGGCATCACATACATGGCTGCCTAACTGTTTTCCTAGTTGTTCCTGAAATATACTCTTAGCTTGACTATCACTAAGTAGGGCCCTAAGAGGCTTCCTTGCAGCGTCTTTCCTACGTTCAGTAAGACGCAGACAGATACGCGCTCGTACTAGAGCATGATCTGAATCTAAGTATGTGCTCCAGAATGAGCGACAGTCTTCTATTGAGGCCCTCCATCGGTGGCTGATAGCGATGTGATCTATTTGGGTCCAACGTTGGAACGAATTAGGGGATCTCCATGTTAAAAGATATTTTTCCTTATGCCTAAAGTTAGTATTTGCAAGAAAGAGGCGGTTATCTGGGCATAGCTGCAACAGACGGTCGCCATTATTTGTTCTTTGAGCCACGATGCTATAAGATCTTCCCAGGTGTCTTTCCCTATCGCTTAGTTTACCTACTTGAACATTAAAGTCACCGGCCATTGTTACTACATCCGAACGCCTAGCTTTCAGGAGGAGGTCCGAGAGCTTTCTGTAAAACTCATCTTTTACATCATCTGAGCTGCAGTCAGTGGGAGAATAGGCAGAGACGACGAAGAGGCAACGACGAGTGTCCCTATCTTTTCGGATCCTTACTGTTCCTTTCAGTCGGACAGCGCACAAACGACTGTCTACTGGGATCCACTCTAAGAGAGCTAGTTCTGCCCTAGGACTCAATGCTATACCTACGCCGGCGAAGCCGCGGGAAGCAGAATCAGGGATTCCAGATACACGAAGTGTGAGTCGAGTCGGTTCTTTATTTTGGCATGGTGAGGTCAAATAGATGACCCTACTCGGATCCTGTATGCGCGTTTCGGAGACGCAGCACACATCGATGGCGCGGGATTCTAAAGTCCTAGCTAGGGAAGCCTGTTGTCCTATTTGGCACAGTGTTCGGACGTTAAAAGCTCCTACGTGTAGTTTAGAGTGTGGTTTCAGGAGACCAGGAATAGCGTTCCGCGTACTCGAATCGTTTGCCCTAGTGGTGCGAGATGATAAAGAGACGTGAGGAGGGTTAGTCATGGAGATAAGAGAGGTATTAGGAGGTGTAGAAAGGATTTGAATGTGACCAACTTGGTCTTGTGTGCTGTTACGGGTATGAGGGCTGATATCACTTCCCGGCTGCCCACATCGTGGAAGGGTATTTCTTGAGGAACCTGAAAAGGAAATTGGATTAGTGTTGGTCTTAAAGACCTGGGAGCGTGACCGCAGAGCCCAAGGGACAACTGCTTGAGGCCGGTCGCGCACGGCCTTTTCGTGGAAGGTTTTTATTGTGTTAGCTCCGTTCTTCAAAGGGCCTTACCGCCGGAGACGGAATCCGTGAGGTAAGGTGAGGTGTGACATTTTTAGGGTCAGGTTTAATTGTCTCTGGAATATGCTGCTAGCCTTTCTATCCTGATGTTGAACTTTGACGAGTCTTCTTGTTATGAGTTTCTTTCCGTTCACTATGAATATGACTAACGCGTGTTCGTACTACACCACGACCAAAGTTTACAGATGTGCTCCGAAACGAGAGGGAATCTTCTGCTGAGCTTCTTTCGAAATGGCTGGTGGCAATGTTGCTTATTTGTATCTATCTTTGATCATATGTTGAAGGTGGCCACATTAGACGATGTCTCTGTGTGCTTACGATTGGTGCTTACTAGTAATAAAAGATTGCAATAGACGGTTACTTTTATTAGCTGAGACGCAGAAAAATCCACTTAAATATCTTTCAGCTGTATTTAGTCTGCCTATCCGGGCGTTCAAATTGCCTGGTACGATTACAACCGCTGAGCGTTTAGCTTTTTAAATTAATATTCGACTAACTTACTATCCTGTTTGGATTCATGGTTTAAATTTTTTACTGGTGCTTGAGTATATCCACAAACTTATTATTGTCAACTTTAGGTAACTATTAAACTTTGTTGCCTTCAAAGCTATTTAGGATGATAGGAGATTGTTTAAAAAGAAAAAAAAACATTATTGCAATGGTTTTAATTAACTATTTACACCTGCTACACGATTAGTGAAAGAATTTACTCACTTTCCTATACACAATCCTGATACCTGTTGTCCAATTATGTTAATAGTTTTAAAACAGTTATCAGTAGCTGTTATTGTTTTAAGACTGACATAAGATACCACCAATTTGTAGGGCAGTGCGATTGCTATCAAATTCATGTATCGATTTACTTATGATTCATAAGCTTTCGTAACCTGAGCATAAAACTCGATCAGTTCATTAAATATTAATTAATTAGGTCATTTTTATCTATCCTATGCTGATCTCTAGAATCCCTGCGAGCATCACGTAACCTACTACAGGTGTATTTGATTGGTCTAATTCGCTATTCTCTCTGCTATTGGGTAATTGATTCGATTCTACTTGCCCTTATCTAGGTTTATACAACTAAGTAACACTAATCAAGAAATATATATATATATATATATATATATATATATATATATATATATATATATATATATACATCCACATCGCATAAACTGTCACGACTTTATCCCATACTTCCACTTCTCTTAATAAATACGCATGACTCCAAAGTTGTGAAATTATCGCACGAATGGTGTTTTCTAGTAGTCCTAGTTACCACAGTTCTCCGTAAAACGGCAGATCAACAAAAGACAATAATAAGAAAATTTCATACAATTGGTTCCACTAGTGAATTTAAATAAAGCCAGAACAAACATTGACGCAGAATGATATGAATTCATTATATTTCGTGGTTTCTCAGTAGCTGCTTACAACCAAATATGTATTAGAATTTTACATCGAGTTAAGAAATAGTATGGAACAATTGATATTTCTTACCTCAATGTAAAATTCTAATACATATTTGGTTGTAAACAGCTAATGAGAAACCACGAATTCTTATTATTCTGCATCAATATTTGTTCTGGCTTTATTTAAAATCAGAAAATTATTTGATTAATGTATTTTAATATGAATCTGTCACGTTTGAAGAGATTACGATATCACCTGAAACCGGCGAACGGAACGAAGGTTAGAAACACAACAACAGGACAGGCTAAACTATTCCACTGCGCCCCAGCCCTGCTAAATATAAGGTGAAGACCAGATTCAGCCGAGGGAAATGTATATTCCACAAGCAGCCAGAAACACGAACAAAAAAGCGCACAACTCAAGCATATATATACAGTATGAAAATGTTCCAGAGACAAGTCAAAGAATAACGTATTTAAAGAGGAAAGGAACCAATTACATCAAGGTCCTTCTAAGTGGGAAGTACAATCTGGAGGTAAAAATGGGCGGTTTTGGCTCAAAAATAAGAACTTCAAATTTTAAAAATAAAACTGTAAGAATAAGACGCTTACCAGATGATTTTTGTGGATCTAGCATCTCCCAAAAAATTTTAGTATTATTGGTATATGCACTACTGATGACTTGTTACGATCTCATTTTGTTAAATTTTGTTTTACCGTCAGTTTCAGTAATCTTTTTTCTATGAATTTGAAATCAATCATTTCACGATTTACCTGGTAAATTAACTTGCTTTTCTACTTTGAATTCGTTTTCTTTTCAACTAGTGTATAAAGCTACATTAATTTTACTACAATCTGTTCCTAGTGAGATTTGTTTAACAAATCTTAAGACTCGTATGGAAAATGTAAGTTAATTTGTCGATTATACACTGACTTTATGTTATTTTGGATATAGAGTAGTGTAATCTAATCTTACCAATATTATCTTATACTGATTGAGCCTGTTAAAATTGAATAATTTTCCACAACACTATACGGAAATCGATCTAGCTTACAATTTACTGAGTTATTTTAATTTTCTATAATCTAAATTTCTGGTACATATAAAACGGGAATAGGTGAAACCCGTAACTTTATGACTAATCATCTCATATGGTTACTATTATTGTTGTCAGATGTAGAATTTTCGAATGTTTATGTGTTTCTGAACTGGTATCTTACACATGCTGATGTGAAGTTCGTTTTAATTTGGGAGACTTATTTTCGTGGTATTCTCATAAAAGTTCACTTATAAAAGACAGTATTATACAGTACCTATATGTGACTGATAGCGATCACTAGATGGGCATCTATGATTGAAGACCTTAGGTGACATATCTAATACTCGGTTATTCAGTACTCACTCCATTTTGCTGTCAGTTTTGGATTTTAATACTACTTTATGCTTTCCATTTCTTTGGTACTATATTTTCAATGTTTATTTTTTTGCTATCATCTGAACTTCGTCTTGTTAATTTCATCTCATTGTGCTAGTGTTATACATGTTAACTGTGGGAGACGTTCGTTTGTACTGTCCTACGTTTATTCTTAAGCGTTCTTAACAAAACATATCCGTATTCGGAGTTCAGATTATCATGAATATAGTTTTATGATATTTCTTTTATTTAGTTTAAGAATCAATTAATTAGCCACCCTTTTAGTGTTATAGTCTTGTTTTGAACCTCAAAAATGTAAAAAAACTGTTTATTGTCTGTTCCTTGGGTATAATGTAGTTTTTACATTTGGAATGCCTAATTTGACGTACTTGAAATTCTTTACCTTTATAAGTGGCACATAAAGAGTCCCATATTTTGCGGGAAAGATTCACTCCATCCAAGGACTTTCACATTAGCGTGTAAACGTGTGCAAGTTGATTTCAGAGTTTAAGAAAATTATTTAGCTAAACCAATGTATATTTTTTACACACTCCTCTTTCCTGTTTCTACTGATTGAAGTGTGATAGCTTGAACCTTCATACTTTTTTACACGTCATCTACCTTATCTTACCTACCGGTTTCATGCATTTACTGTCACAATTTACATATTTACTTATACATAATGGAGATGATTTCACACTTCTATCGTAGTACGTGTTTTTTTTCGAAACTGGTTGATATTTTTAGTATTTTGAACATAACAATTACTTTTGTTTGCTACTTCGAAATTCAGATTGATGGAATTCATAAAATTCATGATCTGCATGTATGGCGTTTACAAAGCAATTGTATTATTGGTACTGTTCACATTCGTTGCGTTAGCTTACGTAAGTTTATATGTATGCTTCTAAAGTTTTTTTCCGTTTGCTGCATTTTATGTTTCTAATTACGTTTGATTAAAACTTACTTTTTACATTGACAATTCAAACTGTTAATTTGGAAACAGATACTTTAATTATAACTTTGTTTAACTAATAATGCTTGTTTTTGTAGAAAGTTTAATTTGGTTAACTGAGAGATGATAATAAGAAATTGGAATTTTTATTGCTTTAATTCGTTTTCGTTCTCTGCAGATGCTAGTTAAGTGGCTGGAAATCTACGTCCTACAGGTTTGCTCTAATATACATGATCTTGTAGGTATACTTGTTTCTCAACCGTCGATATTAATTTGTAGTCTTTATCATTACTGACACTGCTATATATATAGTGTAAAATAGTATGGAGAAAGTTCGTAGATCTATTTCTGAGTTGGATTGTGTAAATTTGTCTATAGAACGCTCGTGTAGTATTAAGACATTCAGACATGCTTGTCGCTTTGCATATTTGATTAACCAGAAGATGTAATTAGCGGAGTTCTCGAATAGTGTATGATTTAGCCCAAGTTATAATGTTAATGAAGGAAATAATAAAAATGTGAACAAACAGTACTGTAGTTGATCGTTGGTTAAATGTGGAACTATGGACCGGATTTATTGTCTAATGATAAGAACTACATAAATGTTATTTATGTATCAAGCTTAAATAGTCTATACTTTTCTGATCTCATAGTCTGGTTAGAAGTAGTTCACTACTTTTACAGTGCGTATCTCTTAACATATAAACGTTATTTAGATTTATAGTAAGGAGCTTAGGTTTTATTATGAAAATGACAATCATAATCCTTTTTACATTGTTTATTCTTCTGCTAATAGAGTATTTGTCCCTACTTTCTTTTTTCTTAATCTGTGTATATAAAATCTATTCGGTTAGATAGAAACAATGAGTAAGTAAGGATAATTGATGCTAATCTTACTATTACTACTAGTAAACAATCAGCCTGCTGTTGTAGCATTCTGCTTCTTCTCGATTTCTCACGTCTCCTTTTAATCTAATGACTTGATTTAATTTAATTAGTAATAAGTGTTAATATGTTGCTCACTGCATGCGCTTTTTTATGTTGTACTTTTTTGATGTTTATAAAAGTATCAATAGAGTGAAATAAGATGTATCTTGTTGTTCATCTAAAAACATTAGATGAATTTTTATTACTTGTGATCATTTTATTCTTTTTAACTATTTTTGACTTTGGTCTAGTGGTCACAGTTTTTATTCCTTTTTCAAGTAGTGGTGGGGGGTGACTGGCTTATGCAACGTCGGATTATTTAATTCAACTCGTTACGATCCAATAAATTTCAACCTAATAATTTTAATCTAAACGTTTTCTACACGTCAGTTGTTTGATACAGAAGGCTCGACTAGCTTTTGCCAACTTGCGTCATTTATGGCGTAGGCGAGATATCCGTCTATTAACCAAAGGACGAGTTTACTGTGCAGCAGTTCGTTCCGTCCTACTTTATGGCAGTGAAACATGGCCGGTAAGAGTAGAGGATATTCGTAGGTTACTAGTATTTGATCATAGGTGTCTTCGAAATATTGCTCGTATATCCTGGGACCATCGAGTAAGTAATGCAGTTGTTAGGAAACGGGTACTAGGTAAGGATGGCAAATCCATTGATGACATAGTGAAACTTCATCAGTTGAGATGGCTTGGACACGTGTTACGTATGCCCAACGACCGACTGCCTCGACGTGCGATGTTCAGTGGTATATAAGTGGAGTAGGTTGGAAGAAAGCTAGGGGCGGCCAGACCAAAACATGGCACAAGTCCATGAAGTCACTGACAAGTGGACTGAGTCATGTCGGTAGGTGTAGACTACCTGGTTGGGGACCGCGAGATGATAGCAACCGATGGTTAGAGACCCTGAATGACATGGCTCGAAATCGTTTGCAATGGCGCAGGTGCATCCACTCTTTGTGTTCTCCCAAATTTTGATCTCCTGATTCCTCCTTGTCCCTTTTTTCTCTCTTCCCAAATTTATTTCACTGTATTATACTCTTTAAATAACATCTCCAAACCCTAATTTTCCTGATTACTGCTTATACTCTTATTACCTCTACCACTACGGGATTTTAATCGACCACTGCATCTCTGTGCTAATGTGGTGTGGCAACTCGAACTGATGTACGTACGTACGAAGTTCTACGTTGTTACTGACTGACTGAGAGAATTATTTGTTCTTCAATTTATAATTTTATTGTCAAGAATTAATTGTGTAATTTAGTTTTTGGATGATATTGATAAAACTAAAACTCAGAAATTTTTTTCACTTGACTAAGATGAATAAGCCATAAATTTATGACCTAATGGCACTTTTTAATCCAGCTATTCTTAAGCTTTTTACACATGATTAGACTCAACAATTATCGCTTGCAAACGTGCACATTAACCAAAACTACACAAAAATAAAGTTTGATTTTGGACAAGGTGATCTGAAGCGCTGTTGGAATTTTAAAGGCTGTTGTCACTTCCCGCTCTCAGCATCGATGAAGGATAATTTTTCTTGATGTATCTGACAATAAAAGTGGTGTAGGGGTAGTTTCGAGGGTCTGGATGTGTGACCAAAAGGCTCAAGAAACAAATGCTTGCGGTTGGTCACAGATTGTCTTTCTACAGGTAGTTTTGGGCATGCTAGTTCCGTACTTCAAAAGGCATTACCGCCAATGATGGAAATTTGTAAGTTAAGGGGAGGTGTACTATTTTGATGGTCTACATTTTGTAATCTCTATCCTCCCGTTGCAAAAAAGCAACATCACTGTAGATGATGATTTTTTAAGGAAAACATCTTACTACCGTCACTTCCGGATAAAGTCAACGACAATACCTCTCTCTAGGATCCAACAATTTTGATTGGGCCATTTCGAAAATAGAAATCAATCATATACGTTAATACCTATAGTTGGCAACTGTTTGGTGTGGCACGAGTCGAATTATTTTTTTTATTTGACTGGTTCATTACATGTTTAGAAAACATGTTATTGTAAGAAAGGAAATTTTTGTGGGATTTCCAAAAAAACTTTATTTTTAATATAGATAGGAGCAGTGGCGCCTATACAATGAAAATGATTATTTTAAAAATTATATAGCAGTGATTGGATTTATCATCTTTCGAACTCCACAGTACCAGTGCTGAATGCACTTTTCACTTAATATTCGTTATACCTGTTGTTCCGTCGTTAAAATCTAGTCTTAGTGGTTGGTACCATTAGTTGTTTGCCATACATTCAGACTTAAAGACTCATCACGGTGATCTATTTCTAAATATATTTCTATTTTTGTTGGTTTTCCGTTGTACTTTTGCAAAATGTGTCGACTTATGTCATTATGATTTTCCTTTTTTTCAGTGTAGATATGTTTATTTGGTTTAATATATATACGATAGGACAGAAACTGTTTTCAGATATCAGCTTTGTGTGTGTATAATACATGAGTCATAGATTATCTATTCTAAAGACACTGTGTATTTTGTCTATATAGTCAAAAAGTGCTTATTTCATTCTCTTTGCATGCCAGTATTGTACTAGTGAATTGAAAAATTCATCTAATATTAGTGTTTGCTTAGCTTAAATTTGATAAAGCCAAGTTGTTTTTTACCTCATTAATGAAGTCTACTGAAAATCACAAATTTGATTACTAGTATTATTATTACTATTATTATTACTGTAAACATACTATCTATCAATAATCATCCTGTCGGAGACTTAGTTTGATTGACATTCTCAGCAATTATATGACAATAAATCGGGTTCGCATGCGGGTAATCACTTTTTCTGGTTTCATCATTGACTTTCGTTCTATGGTAACCAATTCTTTCTGAGATTATGGTTGAACAAAAATATAGAAATATGCTAATATAGGCAAATGAAACTGGGAATATAATAACTTCATCTGAATTGTTCATGTTTAGCAGTTAGTTGGAGGGTCATAAATTTAATTATTTACTTTTTAGTAATTGTTATTATCTGTTCACCCAAAATATGTCCAGACATTTTAATTAGTTTGACAAGAAAATACTCACTCAATAAAAAGGTAGTAAGATTACTTATGAAAAAAGATTTCCATAGGCCTTTTGGATTGTGACTAGCGGTGAGATTTAACGCTCGGATTTTGTTGTGTTTGGCCCTCATCATCTGGTTTTGTTTTTCACATCGACACTCGAATCCAGTAGCCAAGGTTTTACCAACTAGGCTATTAAGTCAATTCAGCAGTCAACTTTCTTGATGAGTATGTTGTAGATTGCATTGCTACTCGCTATCCAAAATATAACCAATTTTTAGCTACGTCTAACTTCAAGGCATTCTCTGAAAGAGTTTACATGCCAATAAAGACTGGTCAAATATGGTGTTATTTATCGTCTGTTTGGAAACATAAACTCGTAATATTATCAATATTTGAAGGGAAATATAAGATTAGTGTTATGAAAAGTGAAGTATGTCAGTCAGCAGACAAAAACATAGATGCTATGTTAATACAAAAAGTAAACATCTAGATTAACGTAAACATTTTAAAAATTCAAAGATTCGTCGATTTCGAAACGGAAAATAATATAAAGTTAAATCGTTAAAATAAAAGCTACGATATAGTATTATGTAATCACATATCAAATAAAATAAATCTTTGCGTTTTTAAATAACTAACATTCCTTAAATACATAATTTTAGTTTAAATACTAGTGTTCATTATTTAATTGTAATGTAATAAGTTAATATGACATTTAACTAGTGGTTAAGCGCTTGCGCGTGAGACCGATAGGTCCTGTGTTCGAATCTCGCGGGGGGCGAAATCGTGGATGCGCACTGCTGAGGAGTCCCTAATAGGACGAAACGACCATCCAGTGCTTTCAGGTTTTCCATGGTGGTCTAGCTTCAACTGACTCATGATTTAACCATTGAAATTAAGAAAGATTAGTTCGGCAAAGAGTTCTCTTTTCATTTTCAATGAATTCGCTAAAAAGAGAACTCTTCGCTAAACGAATCTTTCTTATTTAATGTCCTAATGTGCGTATTCCGTTTACTAAATATGACATTTCCCTACCATGTTCATTTAAAATACACTATTTGTAATAGCGTTTTTTTTCATATTTCTTACAAATACTATCATTTTTTGCCGTTTAGTTTAGTATCATCATTCTCAACAAAATACATTTATTTTCATTCATTTCAAAGAGAATTCACTTTCCACCTATTCAATAAAAAAGTATTATTTTAAAATTGATTAGATACTTAAGAATAAATATTTTGATTATGTATATTATTAGTATTTTGGTACACAATAACTTATTCTGTTTATTAGTGCAAGCAGATTAATTCAATAGGTGTAATCAGAAATGTTTTATCTCTTCAAAATATCTTGAATGAAGTTTTTTTTGTTTTTTAAGATTCACAAGGAGGTTTTAAGATGAAATAATAAATTATAATAATAGTTCACTCGTATATATATATATATATATATATATATATATATATAATATATATATATATATATATATATATATAATCAAACACTTCAATACGAATCTATATTATTCGTTTTTTACTCCTAATTATTATATTTGTTTAATAAAGCGGACTATTTAAGTATTGCTCGTGAAGTGAAACAACTATTCCACGAATTCAATATACACTGTACAACAATACAACCGGAATTTGAAGAGGTAATTTTCTAAATTTTTCTTAATATATATGACTTATTTTATCGTGCTTTTTCAAGGCAAGTAGCTGTTATAAAGTTCATATAAGTGTTAAAAACTGACTGGTTTTACAAATTTCTATCTGACAACGAAATAATATGTTTTTGTTGGTTATATTTTTTAACATTCTTGTAGCTCATTATTATTGTGGATTTTACTTCCTAAACTTGTTTTATTCATTTTATTAATAAAAACCCATAAAAATCGTTTTAGTTGAAATCATAGAAGTGATAAAAGTCAAATGTCAATTATAAGTACTCATCTTTCGTTCGTAAAATTTTCTCATGGAATATCGATCGGTAAATACTGCACAAAGATACATTGTGCCCGACTGATAACTGCTCACATGACCAGACTGTTGACCCAATAAACTGATACAAAAAGATAAAACAATTGGTCAGTAGAGTGGATTTCGATTCCAGCAAATTTACGTAATACTAACTCTAAATATGATTACATGTATTTCAAAACATAGGCAGTTGTAAGGCACATTTTTTAGCGATCATACCCAACTTAACTATGAAACTGGATTTTTACTTGTTATATCACTTACATAAATGATGGCGATATAGGGTATTCGTTTATGGTTTGATCCGGTTCTTGGGTATGACTGTTTGCCTTACTATGATCGTAAGTTTTTTTCCACTCAATATAACAATTGTCAATGGTTCAACTAAGGTTTATCATCACTGTTTACTTGCTCTCAATAGAAACGAAGCTTACACATTTTGTACTGCCGTAATGCACTGTTGAAATACATGTGTAATTTTATTCGTGCCGTTAGGAAAACTATTTGCCACTAAAAGTTTATGGATGATCTAAAATTTTGATCAATAAATGATACTTTATTCTGATTTTTTTCTACAGAACATTGAAGGATCAATGGCAAATACAGATTATCGCACATGTGTGTTGGATTGTGGTCCAAACAAGAATTGTCAATCAGATACTTGTTGTCCAGCATCTAATGTCACAGAAGTACAATTCATCTCATCAAATTTCAATTCTGCATCACAGAATTCATTCAATTTACCACAAAACAACACTTCTAACACATCTAAAAATGAACAGGATAATTTACCCAATAATGACGTACACATTAATCTTTCAAAAATTTCTGGTAGTTGATGTAATTAAAATTTTTTTCTACATACCAATAAATGTGTAAATGTATGAGATATTTTGCGTTGATGTTTTATTATGTCACTTTGATCTCAGTAAAACAAAAGCCAGATGTGAACAGTTCCCTTTGTTTATTCTAATTTTTTTTGATCAGTCTGCTCAAAATTCTTTCAACTGCAGCCAATTCCTACATTTGTATACATCCGCATATATTCATAATAATAATAATCTACAAATATGTAGTTGTGTATAAAGAATAAACTCTTCTCATTAATCAAGTCTAGTTTAGGCAACGCTTGAACAATGAATACATTTGTTATTTGTTTATTTTTAGTGTATTATTTAAAAATTTTGTATACATAAGTATTATATACATATAAATAATTATGTAAATCGAGGCATTTGTGAAATTTAGCTGACAGTTTCTTCTTTAAAAAAATATTATTTCTGTCATCTTTCTCCTTGAAATTGCTCAACAAACCTTTTATATTTGGATAGACAATAAGTCAATGTTGCTATAACTTTGTTTCTATGTTGGATTTATTAAAACATGTTAAGTTCAAGTGGTAATAATTATGAGGAATTTTAATGATTGTTTTTCTTTTTTTGTGTATGTAGTAATTTTTCAGCACATTTATACAGTTTGTTTTTCTCCATATTATTCTTTTCATAAACGGGTCATACATATTTCTCTTTTCTTTCCCCATTCACTTGAAATTTTTTTTTATACATACACATGTATTGACTGTGTATTATTTTGAAATATTTTAATATCCATATATGGATATGAATTTAATGGCTCTTTTATGACTGCCTACTTTTTAACATCAGTTTTTTCCGATATCAATGAATAATTAGATTTGATTAACTTTTTTTTGCAAAATATGATAATATTCTCATCGGATTACTGACTTTTAATATTATAGTATTACCAACATTACTATCACACGCCTTCCCTACAGAAGATGAGTATATAATCATATATTCGTATTTCAATATAAAAATATTAAATTGTATTTAGTTAAACGAAGGTGTTACTAGTTTTGTATAGAAAAACAGCTTTTTAACATTCAGGAGATATGTGGTGATCGTCTAGTCTTATTCTACCCTAGTTATTAAGATATACGTCTAATTCTTTGATTACTAGAAAACTGGGTACCACAGAGTAATATAGATGACGACTGTTTAGATCTCTAAAGAGATTCATTTTCATTTTTTTCTTAATTAGTATTTTCGATTTAACTTGGAGTTCATTTAGGAGGCATGTTACGGCATTTACCGCGTATAATTTATTAACTATGGTTTATTCACGAATTATGGTCGTATCTATTTCATTTTGCTAGGGTTTTGTTTCATACTATCTATTTTATTAGTTAATGAACAAGTGGGCTATCTAGTCAAAAGCTAAAACAGTTATTGGATAAATAAATCATTCTAACTTCAGAGAATATTTTAATATAATCGCGAAATGGGTACGTAATAGCAACTGAATTAATAAAGTTGAAAACGAATGGAATTGCCAATTTAGACAGGTGTAAATGAAACATATAACTCAAATCCTACCATGAACTCACCATTTAGAGCAGTCGTTATTAAACCAGATAACTCTAACATTTTGTATGATCGTTGTGTTGGCTCAAAAATTTTTAACAGTCACTGTACTGCTAGGTCTAAACTCCGGTGAATCAAAGGTTATCTTCGTTGAGCAACAGATGAACACCATATCAATAATATATAGATGATTGTAAACGAATTATGGTCTGACAGGTGTATGTCGATTCCGGGTTATTACACTGTAATTATTGTTCAATTTGTTTCAAAGATTAAGTTATACCAATGTCTTTATGAAGCAACTATTTCATCTGGATACTGAAGCAATGATATATTCTCTTAGTAAACGATAAAACCCTTCAGTTAAACATTTTTAATCTCCGTTGAATAATTCAGTAAAACGTAGCTGAACTCTGACCGAAATTATTCTATATACCTATTTCTGATAGTAGTTTACCATAAGCTGTTGTCCAACCAAGAACGTTTGAGCTATGATCTATTTGAAAATTGATGTATTTATTCGACAGTTTTGAATGATGAAATGATACAGTACTAGTAGTTCAATAGAATTAAATTTAAGGATATGAGTTGAATGTGATTTTATTAGGTGTTCTCAACAAACGGTGAATATTTGACTATTATATCCATTGCTAGGCTTGAAGTTTGTTTGAATTGTTTGAGTTTAGAATTGTCGAATTTCAAATAATCACTATGATTATCAAGATTCAATAATGTTTACTAACGTTTTACTAAGTTTCTACTCCTTTTCTTGCTAGAGATCGTAGTTAGTTGTCACAACAATTATGTTCTTTTTATCAGGTCTGTATAATTACATATGGCTTTGAAATGCAACTATCATCACAGTTTGTTATGCTCATAGTTTGACAGGCAGGGAAGCATAAATCTTATAGACTCTGACCATTGTGCTTCGATCCAGTTTATCACGCTTCATGTTCAAGTCTGGTCACACCTTAGTTTTTTGAACCAACTCCTTTGATAACTGATGTAATGTTCAGGGGGAGAATTACTGGGGACGTCCACTCCATGACTCCAGCTACCTCATTTAGTAACGGCCAACAACAGTATCAGTCAATTTGCTATCCATGCATAATAATCTACGTCTTATTCCGTTATTACTTATTTAGTGAGCCATGTATACAAACTACACACCAAAGCTGTAAAATGAATACTAATCAGTTTTACGTTTTCTGTTCTGGTCGTAAAGTTGTATGGGAACCAATATAAAATGTTTTGGTTATTTGAGTATCATTATTTTTATTGCACTGGGTTGCATCACAAAGGAGAATTCAACTGTCTGACGTAAATTACGTTTTTGAAAAACCACAAGTAAACTAACCTATTAAAAGTAACCAAAATGTTTTTGTATGTAAAGGTCTATCACCGTCAGTCTTTTTTAATTTGTAAGGTTTGTGTACTTGAGGCATATGTGATTTATCATTTCATACATAACGTTCGACAAATCTGGATTTGAATTGTCCCTCAAGCTCTTAGGTAAGGAGAAGACGGAGTGTAAACAGCTCTTTCCTTTCTTATTTGTTTGGCACTGGGATTATGATTAATGTTGATAAAATGTTTGAAAGAATTTACCTTATTTCACTCAACTTGGTAGTTTTAGAGTATTTTTCACATACCTAACCACCACCAGCTCTGACACTAGTTGACACAGGAGTAGATTGGGGGAAAACTAGGAATTGGGAGGTCTGTACATGAGATCCATTACTGACTATTGCGATAAGTCATAATGATGTCACATTCATTCTTTACATTTTTCTAAATTTTGGTTTTGGCATCGTTACGCGGGTTGTATTCTATAATTTTTTATTTGTCCTTTTGAAATTACATCTCTCATGTTGAAATTTTTACTGTATTCAAGATTATTTCTTCTTATAAACTTTAAAGCAGGTCATACGTTAATTATGATTAACTCATTAAGTCTACTGTATCTGTTGGGAATTTACCTTTGTACATACAGCATCACCAGTACAATCGACTTGAACATGCTGATACTATATATGTGTAAAACATTTGTGCAATCACCTTTTTTACTGAGACCGTCGAATTAATTCATAGTTTCTTAATTACTTTGGATAATACTTTGCTTTTTTCTTTACTGTCGCCTTGTTCTAAAATCTCGAGCAACTTGTTATTTTTCCAGAACTAAGAGAATTATCTCTTTTACTGTATAGCAGTAATCTAAGAAACTTTATGAGGTTTTTTATGTGAAAAATGTTCAGTGATGAATTAAGACACTGTAAGCTTTTTAAGTAAAATTTTTTAAAATTTCAAGTAGATTTGGATGGTGACTAACAGTGGAATCCAGGATTCACGTTTAGTCTTATTTGAGACCCATCAATTGATGTACCTGCATCCCAGAATTGATTTCCACTCCGGGACCTGAACCCAGTACCGTTCACATCAAACTCCATCTCGTTATCCACTTAGCCACTGAGTCCAGATAGCCACTGGTTTGTGCAGTGAGGTATCCTGGGTTCTACCGACAGCTACCAACTATCTCTGCCTAAATTGCATGTGACTTAGTGGCAATATCACGATTATCCGCATAGGATCCACATATGCGAAAAGTGACTGATTAATTGCAGTCCTAAACACCAATGGTAAGATCCCAACAACCGATATATCTGAATTAATATCTTTCACAATAAGACCATATGTTTAATGTCTTTTGATAATTGTTTTTAATCTCTTAGAGAATTGTTAAAAAATTAATCCAACTGTTGATAATAATCCAAGCTTCAACATATTAAAAAATGGAACAGTCAAGAATGTTATTAGTAAACATATTTTCTATGTCCTTTTCAATAGTCTGGTAATCCGCCGAATACTAGTTGATCGTTAATTAATTTTATGTAAAGCTAAATAGTAAATTTATATATAATTGACTGTAGTTTATGTGGACGGCAAACAGGTATAGCAACAACGGTTGAGTTAAGAGATATCTTACATTTAGGACTATATAAAAAATATCATAATAGAATGTTCTAGTTCATTCTCATCATAAAATTTAGGATCACGAATCAGGTCAGCGGGCGAGACAATCAAAATAAATAATGGAGACAACAACAGGTTAAAGGTTAACAGTAACTAACCGAAGTCAAGGTCAATAAGACAATCTATCAGCCATGTAGAGAGTAATTTGAATACTTCACTCCTACTTGAAATTTATTGTGATAAGTTTGTTCAGAAGAATAGTGAAAACTCCGCGATTAAACCATTCATATCAGAGAACGAAACTTCTTAAGAACTGTCTGCCTTAGTTACGAATCGTCCCCATAATCTCAAAATAAATAAATAAATTAAAGAATTGTTACTCAGGCTTCGTATTTCCTTTCTTTTACCTTCAGACTAAAAGGATTTCTCTTATAAATACGATCAAAAGAATATTCTTTCATAATATTGTGCAGGAAATGCCTGAT